AAGTTTCCATTGAGACCTTGATTAGTTGTGTGTAATTAGAATTGGAGCTAAACTCTGTAAGACAGTGGTCCTCCAGGAACAGGTTTGAACACCCCTTATTCAAAATGATTTCATTTTTACAAAGCCATGTTAAGTTAAAAATAATCCACATTAAAAAAAAGTCTCAAGACCTATGTATTATGCTGTTCCTTTCTGCCTTACATAAACGCTCCCTTTAGAAACACTTAAAAGTTAGGGGAAATGATCTGACTCGTCATTCAAGCAGTACATTTGTAAACTGTACAGTTGTAAATAACATCTGTACATTCAATAAAACAATGATGTTTTTTTTCTCTATATTTCTACTTCTGTATTATATTGCATTATTAAATTTTTAGTTTTTCTTATATTAGTGTTATATTTCATCTCTACTGTGTAATTCGTATGTCTGCACTATCATGTATGTTTGCACTATGTCTGTACTGGAAACTCCTGTCACCAAGACAAATTCCTTGTGTGTTTAAACATACTTGGCAATAAAGCTCTTTCTGACTTCTGTAAATAGACATGAAGGGGACCCCCAATAATTAGAAATGACCAAACTGTCCCAACCCATACTGATTGGTTGATACTGAATATATACTGTATATTTCATTCCTAACCCTAACCCATATTTCGAAACCATAAACAGACATTTTTTGACATGAATCACAAAAGGAGATTTTTGCAGAATCTTAATGTGGAAAGGAGCTGCATGAAGACTTAAGGAGTCAATATTCTCCTTTTGTGTTCTATGAAGAAACAGCAAACTGGGTTTGAAACAACATGAGGGTGAGTATGTAATAGCAGCATTTACATTACAGTGTGAACTATTCTGTTCAATAAACATTTACATGGGTAATCCATTTAACAACATAAAGTTTGGTTTTCACCAGATAAAGGGGGAGATACAGGATCACATGATCGTCCGTGGCTTTGTGCCTTGCCGCGTTTTAATGAGGAAAGGATTGAGAGAGCAAGACGTCCATTTCCATGGAGACCAGAGAGATCTACATCCTTGCCCTTTCTCTCAGCAACCCTCAAGGCTACACTTTCTACCTCCAAATGTGTCCATGGTCGCGAAAGTTGTACATGCTGACCAGTCCGTATAATGCATGAGCTGAACAACCACCACGGAAACTTACAGAGAACCTACATTTGAAGTGAGTCAAATTGATGTTAAATTTAAGGTTTGAGGTGATTTTTTGCACCTAAAGTATCACCACGCTACAGGTGCTTTGATATTAACATGCACGCCTGCACACACGCGCTAAACCTGATCCATATCAGCTACTTCAGAGCTATTGCAACCTTTGGCCCTAAAGGGCAAAAAAAAAAGAAGAATGACAAACTCAAACACACATGGGATGAGCAGTTTGCTCAGACCATATGTGTGTGTGTCTGCTGAATGTGCATCAGTTCCTTTTTCGACAAATGCCCCTCTTTCTCGTCCCCCCCCCCTACACGGTGGCTTTTGTCTTCGTCGCCGGAAGGCGGGGTTCGTTGCCATGGTGACTACTGCAACAGAAGGCTGAAGGGTTTGACTTCCTCATGACCTTCACAAAAGGGGGTGATTGTTCTGAAATAGAGCCAGCGCTCTCCTTCATGTGGAAAGTGGGAGGAAAAAATGATCAAACTGTCCGGAGCTTTAGGATTGCATGCACAACTGCAATCAAAGTTGGTCTGAAGCCCCTTGCATTGCAAAACCATTATGATAACATCATGCTAGTGTCACATGTAAAATGAGGATCAAAGGAGCATATTTGCCATGGGTTAAGCCTCTAACAGAGCTGTACACATGTATTTGTGGAGAACATTTCTTGTTTATGCGGTTCATCGGTATGTAAGCAAAGTAATTATGCTTCCTGATGTCACACTAAGAAAGAGCCAACAGAGCAGCAGTTTTCTAAGGCAAGTATCAGTACCATTACCCAAAAACATATTTTCTCTGCGATCTTAAAGTGGTCATATGATGCGATTTCAAGTTTTCCTTTCTCTTTGGAGTGTTACAAGCTGTTCGTGAATAGATAATATCCCTAAAGTTGCAAAGACTAAAGTCTCAAACCCAAAGAGATATTCTTTATAAAAGTTAAGACTCGTCCACGCCCTCCTAAAACGCCTCGTTTAAACACGCCCCCACATATCTACCTCACTATGTGGGAAGATTTGCATAACGCCTCCCAAATGTTCACGCAAAGAAAGAAGGCGTAACTTTATTGTTGCTGCCACCACCATGTTGTGAAGATGCTGTGTGTTTCGTTGCGAAAATACTTTGTTTGGTCTTCCAAAATAGGACACGACTAGAAATCAGTGGTTAAGTTGTTTTTACAACACTGTTCCAGAACACTTCAACCCAAATATTCAGATGTGTGCGGCGCATTTTATGGAGGACTGTTTCCTGATCCTGGAAGAGTAGACTACAATGCCGGCTGTTCTGACTCACAGACTGTAAGTACGTTTTCATATTTAAAGAATTTGCCTGATGATTCATTTCTCCGATCTCAAATGCAGACATAGTTTTATGTTTATGCGGCGCGATACAACACAACTAGTAAAATGACATGATGAGTCATTATAATCCGTAATTATGTCCCCACTGGATGCAACAAATGCCTCGTTTATAATGGGTTTTAATGTTTTTGTCTCATCGCTCCGGCCTGACAGGGCATCACAGTATGGTGAGGGGCGTAACATTTCTGTCACACGCTTGAGGTATTCGGCCAATCACAATGCACTGGATAGCTGACCAATCACAGCACACCTGGCTTTTCAGACCGATGAGCTTTGTAAAAATCAACGCATTTCAGAAAGACGGGGCATAGAGGAGAAACAAATAATGTGTTTTTTTTTTTTACCTTAAACCACATAAACACATTTCATTACACCAAATACACAAAATAATGTTCTTTTTAGCAACATCATATGACCCCTTTAAGAAGCTGACTCATGATGTTCACCTGGCAGACAATAAACATGAAACATGAAGGAACTGACATTGAAAGACACCTCCTATCAAAGTATAATTTTAAATAGAATAATAACATTATTATATGATAAACAAACATTATATATAAATGTAATAGTACAATTTACTGCTGTTAAATCATATGAATTTGAAGCTATGTCATTTGTTGAAACTGATATTTATTCTCAGAGAGGTTTTTCTACTGAATAAATACAAATTAAATAATATATTAATGATACAATGGCAGCAAATCATATTAAATTTTGTACTGACAGTATAACAGAATGATCAATAGAACTTTAGATTGATAAATAGATTGACAGACAGATAGACATATGGATAGAACAATGGATGGATGGATGGATGGATGGATGGATGGATGGATAGATAGATAGATAGATAGATAGATAGATAGATAGATAGATAGATAGATAGATGGGTCAAAACCGCATAAGCAGTGACACATTGTTAATTTCTTCAGGATTAAGTCTGCATCACTGTTCCTCTGTGAGAAGAGGTGTCTGGTGAAATGGTTATACAAAAAAAACATGATTCATCTCATGAGTCACAAGATGAGTTCACTATTCACCCACAAAAAACATCAAGGCTCTGAACAAAGCCTGCAGGATGCCATGCATGAGAGAACGTGCCCACCACCCCTCAAAGAAGTACCTGAGAAAGCAAAAAAGAAATTGCATCCTTTATAAGTGTCTCTTTGTGTACCGCTACATCTCTCCTCCCACTATAGGCTTTTTGTTTGGATGCTTACAAAAGATTATCTCTAAGAAAGAGGGGAGCTCAGAAATTGAAAAAGTATTGGAGAACTAAGAGAGATAATTCTCTTCTCTGATGACCTTATCATTTTTATCAATCAATCTATCTATCTCTGAGATAACAGACTGCCTATTTCATGTCTAAATCTACCGCAAGTAATATTGGCATAGTAAAATCAACATGTTCTTATATGTTCTTAAACCTTGCGGTTTCACTTTATTTTGATGGTCCCTTTAACACATTATGTTGACTATAAGTAACATTGCACCTACATACCTCATTAGTGTTAGTAGAGTATTAGTAGACTGGGGTTAGATTAAGTTGACATGTACTTGCAAAGTTACTGATAGTGGAACGTCTGTTGGGAGACCATCACAATAAAGAGCTAACAGATATTAAGCAATATGCAGTACTCTAGTATTCCAGTCCAAACACTGGCTGAAAGTCCTTTTGCAGAGGGAAGTGACTAATTATTGAGCAGATGTTCAGTTTGACCAGTTTTTTAAAGATTTTAGCCTAACAAAACCCTCCATCGATTGGTCCAAAGGTATTTCAGACACAAATATTTAAACCTCCAGTATTTGTTAACCAAGTACAAAGCTTTACCATTGCTAAGGACCTATCTTTCACTGTTCAGAGAGACATTCATGAAGAACATCTGAGTTTTCATGAGCTTGTCATCCTTAAATTGTCAACTAGATTTTACTAAAGTCTCACTGTTGGTTCTCAGTTCAGCTGCAGGACTCATCGTGAATAATTTCATGTGGTTAAAGGAGGACGCTTACGAATAAATTCCATCACAGCACCAGACAAGTAGTGTGAGATTACAAGGCAGGGCAAAAGAGGGCATGGCAGGAAGTAACTTGAGGCCACTGGAACCAATCCAACCAAAAAACACCCGAGAAAGTCTGTATAAACAGCTCACTGACACAATTCTACATTCAGAAACAAAGTGGTTGATATAACCAAAAAGAATGGTGGTTGTCATTACACAAAATAATCATTTATTCAACGAAACAAAAATGTATTTATGCTGCGAAAATTACAATGCATGAGGAAAAAAAAGCTTTGCACTGTTTCAAGGATGTCCCAAAATATCCCGCAGTTTTTAATCCATAATCTTGTGAATTACAAAGGCACATACAAAGATGAAAAAGCTGTAAAAATTTGCATATTTCACTGATGAATTCAACCTTAAAAAAACATGTTATATTAATATCAACATATGTACATCTTGCGTTTGAAGTGTTGTGACACTGCTAACTCATGAAGGAGGGTCATCTCCATGAATAGCCTTATATTTAGCCATCTCTTCAGGAAAAACCTTGCCCAGCTCAGAAATGAGGAGGCTTTTAAATTTCTGCAGGAAGAAAAAAGAAACCGCAAAAGAAGGTTAGATGAAGATCCTTTGTTTTATTCAAAACATACCAGGAAATCATCGATCCTAAGATTTCTTTAACACACACACACTCATATTATAGATTTACAAAGAAATAGACTATTTTCAATTCTTAAGTTCAGAAATAACATTATAGAGGTCAAATATGTCAGTGCTGCAACTTTATTCTGATAACACTGGGGGGCAAAAAACGTGAAAAATAAGAAGGCTCGTTCAGACCAAGAATGATAACTAAAATGATCACTATAAGTAGGAGGGGTACACTCTTAAAAATAAAGGTGCTTCAAAAGGTTCTTCGAGCGATGCCATAGAAGAACCATTTTTTGGTTCCACAAAGAACCATTCAGTCAAAGGTTCTTTAAAGAACCATCTCTTTCTTACCTTTTTATAATCTGAAGAACCTTCTTTTGCCACGAAAAAGCTTTCATGAAACAGAAAGGTTCTTCAGATGTTAAAGGTTCTTTATGGAACCATTTAGACAAAAAGGTTCTTCTATGGCATCGTGAAGCACCTTTATTTTTAAGAGTGTAGAATCTTTGCAAACATATTTATTATGTCCTTTTATAACAAATGACCTGCTAGCACTCCCAAATTAGTCAGTAATTCATAGTGATGGTAAAACTGAACTCTGAATGCAAATGCTGGAGCAATACTCACAGTCAATGTGTCGATCTTTCCTTTGACCTGCTCATTTTTAGCCAAAGCTCTTTCTAAGCACTCCTTTGTGTAGAGTTGAGGGTTACGGCCCTGATCAATATACCTGTGCAAAACATCAATAATTAGTAATGGCTATTCATGTCTTTACACAGATGTGCCATATCACATTTCGTGAATATAACAATTAAATGAGTAATGGCAATCTAAAAAGAGTAGAAATGAAAGTAAAAGAAGGGTAATTTGATAAAGAACATGCAAACACTCTTTAAATGTTTGTCATCTGAATGCACAAAACCATTTACATTAATTTTTCACGAGGTCTGTGCAGCTAGAAATATGTATTATGCATCTCTGTTATGTAATGCACTACTCACTCGAACACTTCCAGCGGTACGTTGATATCATGAAGCTGCTGTCGGCATTTCTCAACGTCCTGCAGTCCTGTGATCATAAAGTTCCTGAGGAAATAAGCAACCACACTACTGATAACAAGCCAAGAAAGGCTAAGGCTCAAAATCGCCATTATTTCCCAGATATTCTTTGTTTAAACCCAACATATGGTTTTAGAATCGTGCTGAAATGAACAGAATTACAACTCACAGTTTCTGGTTGAGTCCGGTTTGACTGCTGGGCTGGAAATCGCTGACAATAATCCCAAGCTGTCGTATGTTTTCGACGAATTTCTCGAGGTGTTCTTCGAGATTATCAAACTTTTCGGCCATGGCGTGCTGTATTTTACATAAAGGTAAGCGTACGATTGATTTAATTGGGATAACACTAGAAAATCGTTAACAAAAGACGGGCATCTGTTCAACCAACGCAGCTTCCATGACAGCGAACAGCTTTCCGGCTGCGTTCCACCCAATAGCGTGCGAGAATGGACTGTTACCCTGGTAACGGAATTCTTCGTTGTGCTGTAAAGCGTTTCGAAATGCTGCAAAAGTCCCTGTTGGAAAACAGCCTATGCATTGGATGATGGCTCGTTCAAACACGAACGATGTTACACACACTCATGTGAACTGCTGATGCACTGACCTTCTCAATACGAGGTTTGAGAGAAGTGGGTGTATTGATTCACTGCCAGCTGATGCATGAGAAGCTCGATCCCCTCCCCGCTAAACATTAGGGCAAAGACGCATTAGTTATTTATTTATTATTTTTTTTATTAATGTGGACGGCATCTTACATATTATATTACAGCGAATGTAGAAAAAGCCAGAGAGAGGCAAACAAATACATTAAGTTGTACAATGACACTAAATACTGTTTCTGGGATTTTTCCTGATGTATCTAAACTATAATACGAAAAGAGTGGTGTTTTAAACAAAAAGTGCATGTATGTTAAAACATAATATAAGAACAACAACAACAAATAAATTGACAATATGCCCAAATTGGCAATTTCTTATAACAGGGTAAAAGGTGTACTAACACTAAACGCGTCGAGCAGAGCGTTATTTATTTTATCCCCGGCAGTATTCAGACAAGCCCCGCCTCCCACGGCAGGATTGGCTAGTGTGAGCTCCTCCCCGCCAGCGCCGGTCTGTGATTGGACAGTTTAGAAGTCACTCACATAGCACATAACTCCATCACAGGCTCCGCTCCATCAGACAGCGATCAGGTCGAGGGCGGGACTTGTCGGAAAACTGCTGTGAAGAAAAAGATAACTCGTGCCGGACCCTTGATTACTCATTCCGTCCAGGTTCAGCGGAAGTCAACCGACCCGCGGTGCTCCGCTTGTATGCGTGCGCCAGATTCATTCCGGGCAGCCCTATCGTGCCTCTTGCAGCAGCCGCGTCTGTGCCTCTCGGGGAATTAGAGAGCTGTGGGGATGCGTATTAAATGAGCGCTCTTGTGTTTCAGTGCAGTCGCGCGGGGAAATGATGCATTGAGGACGGGCTGCTCTGCGGGCGTTTTATCTTCCGAGCTCCGTTAACTGTTACACCCACCGCGAACGGCGAAGCACCTCAATGGCTACTCTTTTGCGGAAAATCGGGCTCATTCGCCTGCTTTGGTTTGGGAAGTTCTTTCTGCGTACCAAAGCTCAGACATTTGCTGTTTTTAAAGTTTTTTTTATTAAATATTAGAATCAGTTACAGCACAAAATAACATCAAAAAGGGGAAAATAATATATATATATATATGACATATGACTATTATTCTCATTGCTTTAGACTACAATATGCATTGACCAGTAGGCTATGGATTAAAAATAAATTGAATTGCCATATGTCTCCAATCCGAGAGTCTATTCTGCCATTAAGTGATCAGAAACCATATTCCTTTTTTGCCTCAAACAGCCTTACGCTTCATGTGATGCTATGATGCAAAGAGCAACACTGTTATCCTTATCTGGTACATGTCGGTTACATAATCCCTACCGTCTGTGTTGTCCCAGAAAGCACAGAGGCCGAGCGCGACCATTGACTGATCTCCATTCACAGGATTACCCATCAGGCACTTCACATGGGCACTGCGTTGCGCTCGATACGCACTAAACCAAAATAGCGCAGGGAGACTGTGCTGATGCCGTTAGCATGCTGCAGGGAAAACGCTGATGCGAATAACCTGGATTAACACCGACGCTGTTCCCTCCCTTCAGCTCTCCTCCGTCGCCTCTCAAGCATGAGGGAAGCGATTTCCAAGAGAGACCGTAATCACAATAAAGCTTAATTAAGGCTCCAGTGGTTCCTTTTAATCCAAAAATCACAGGCTTTTCTGAGGGGATAGGGCAGCCTCTTCTCGATTGAGCTCATGCGGTTACTTCTGGGCCATTAGATCTCATCCTGACTGATAGAGCCTGAGGGAAGAGCTGGCTATTTCCGTCTCACTGTCCCTGCTGTCTTACATCAGCACTGGCACTAGACTGACCTCAGTCCTGGGGCATATGGAAGCACATCCTTTTTGCTCATTTAGTGGCTGCTGGGTCTGTGAGATTGTTTCTCTCATACGTAGCCTGAAGTGGCATATTTGTATGATTGCGCTTTGCATGCAGAACCTGATCCTTCTGCTGGTCTTAAAGGAGAAGTTTGAAAACGGATATTTGGTCATGCAATCTTAAAACTAGAGGTTCCCGAAAAGGGGTTTTCACAATTATGCCATAAAAAATGTTTGGTTCCGCAAAGAACCTTTCAGTGAACAGTTCTTAAAAGAACCATTTACAAATCTAAAGTACATGTTAAAAATCTAAAGAACCTTTTGTGCAGTGGAAAGGTTCCATGGAAGTTCTTAATGGAACCATCAATGCCAATAAAGAATCTTTATTTTTAAGAGTGTTGAAAATTTGGTCATTGGTCATCTGTGAATCAAAAAATGAGATTTTAGAGCAGCTTGGACATCACGTATTGTTGGAAAGGACATTCTGCCTAACATTCTTATTTTGTGTTTCACAGAAGAAAGAAAATCGAGTCTGAAAAACATTAGGGTGTGTAAATAATGTTTGGCTGAGTTATTCCATTTAAAGATGCTCTTCTTATTAAAAAAATGTAAGGTTCGTATTTGGTCTTATGTTTAAATATGACATTTGCTCCACCCATGCACAGAAATATAAATGTGTCTCTCACTGTCACACTTTGGCTTATTTAAAACATCTGTCCTATTATGAAATCATGTGTTAGGTCATGCCTGGTTTTCAGCTGGTATTTTGAGTATGCCAGATGAAAATAAGTATCTCCTGTCCCTAACACATTGCCAGAAAAGGCTTAAGGGGCTGATGAGTCGGAGAGATGCCTTCTTTAAATACCCTTTTCCTTTGCTATACAAGTATCTTGCATGGACCACTAGAATTTTATATTGCAAAGTATATAAACACCAACTTGTAACTTAGTGTTTCCTGATCAAAATCAACATTGAAACCAAAATGGACTCTATTTACTTTCTTAATGCATGTTCCTGGTCTTGTTGCACATGATACATGCACATTATGCTTTTATGATCTTTAACAAAAATTTAATACTTTGTCAGACCCTCTTAATTTTACCCACTTTTCATATTCCAATCAATTCCCAATTGATAAAATGTGTAGATAGATAGATGCTCAAGATCTGTCCTATATCTTTTCATCAGAAAACTGATGTAAAAGGGGTTTCTATGTTGATTTTTAAAGAGTTTTTTTAAAAGCAGCAGGATGTTTTTTTTATCTTTGATCTGGAGTCATAAACATGCAGACATCTTTGAGACATTAGCAAAGGGGAGCCCATTTATTTGCATGTGCAGCATTAAAAACCAACCAACTCATTTTTTATACTTTGAAATGGTTACTTCAGTGGGTGAACTTCATGCTATGACAGCTGGACGTTTTCACTGTGGGATGCTGCAATCCTGGATGCACCATTGCATCACTTCTATTCCCATTATCCTTTAGCAGCGATCAAAATGGCAGAACCTGGTGTTAAAATGCTCTTGAAGCTTGTTTAAATAATTCAGCCTGAGGTTTTATCAAGCACAGCCTCTTGATTTACTGTGTCTTCAAAGCTCAGAGCAGTTGGCTTTGAAATTGAAAATGGGAAAACCTCTGAAAATGGAGCACCAGGACCATTTAATCACACCACAATCTGTCATTCACACATCTACATCTGCATGTCAGTTACATAATATATGAAAAGACTCCGGAAAGTGGTAAATAAATCTGGTGTCAGACTTCAACTACACACTTTCCCTCAACTTTGATTTTATATTCTTGAATCCCGAGAATAGTTGTTTGCACATTAAACTGATGTAGAAAGCATTTTAATATAATGAAATTACATTTCTCCCTTAAATCATTCGGCCTAAATTATATTTGGAAATTAAATGTTGCGTCCAGCAGGACATTACAATCATGTATAATTTCCCTCTTGGACAAACAGTCAACACACTGCCCTTTGTTTAAGTCAAGTATATGTTTTTCTGCTTCCCATCTCTTGAAATATAATAGATATGTTTAAGATTGCGACAGACATTTTTTGTGTTTCTCTGTAGCTTTTAGGGATGTAACGATTACCGGTTTGACGATAAATCGTGATAAAATACCCCACGGTTAGTTATTACCGTTTCATCGTTTAATTATCACTATAACCGTACTCGATTACCACGATTTGAACAACTGAGGATAAATAAATACTGTACTGCACAGGGCTCCAGTGTGCGACCAAATGGGCGCATTTTGCGATAATTTTTTCTGCCGGTGCGACAAAATTGTGTGCGGTCACACTGGCGCGACCACCGCATTGTTTAACTCATAAGCGCTGCATTTCTGTTGCATGTAAGAAATATCAAACAGCAAATGAAACTGAAAGCATAACGAAACCGCGCAACTCGTTTGAGCTGCACAGCGCTTTGAGTGTAGAGCCTGTTTTATACTCGCCACGTCAGCAGGAGCAAGAAGGTGCGTGCAGCAAAAATGACGCGAATATTGAGGAAACGATGGATGGTTTTCATGCTAAAGTAAAGTAAATGACCGCTTCTTAAACCAAAGGTGAACATGTTGGTATTCTTGTGGGACAAAAACATGCAAGCACTGTCACCGACAGCAAGTTTAGTTTTACTTTTCTTTTTGTTTTCATTTTGAAAAGCTTGTTATCTTTGTGGTTAACCTCACGTTATGCTATGGAGGCTCTCTTTTTTTTATTTATTTGATTCCTCAGTGTTTGCTAAATGTTCTGTAATTTATTAGTCGGTATATAATACAGCATGCGGTGTATGCCATACCTCGTCTTATTCGTTTTTGTTAATAAACGTTTTATAAGCTAGTTTGACATTGTATCTTACTGTTTTATTGTTGTCATGCTTTTTAATTAAGAATAACAATGAATCCATCTTTTGTTTTAGTCTTAAAAAGTGAAAGGTGTATAGATCAAAAAACGGAGTGAATTTGCATGCCCTGCTGTAAATTGACCGGTTGATGAAAAACAAGCTTATGTGGATTCTACACATTTAAACAATAAGGTATCTAGAATTATGTATGGAGCAGATAAATACATATAATCATTTATTAATCAATTATCATTTTGACC